GGCATGGAGAGAGAGAGAGAGAGAGAGAAGAGAGGGATCGAGAGAGAGAACGAGATGACGAGAGAGGGAGAAGAGAGATGAAGAAGGAGAGAGACGAGAAGAGACGATTGAGAGCAAGAGAGAGAGAGAGAGGAGGAAGATGAAGAGGAGATCGGCGAGAGAGAGAGATGAAGAGAGGAGAAGACAGACAGGACAGACACGACAGACAGAAAAATAAGACAGAGAAAAAGAGAGATGCAGTTGGCGGAGGGGGTAATGATAGAAGAGAAAGAGAGGAAGGAGGGAAAGCGAAAGGGAAAGATGGGAGGAGAGCGAAGTGGAGAGAGAGAGAGAGAGAGAGAGAGAGAGAGAGGAGAGAGAGAGAGAGAGAGAGAGAGAGAGAGAGAGAGAGAGAAGAGAGAGAGAAGAAGAAGAGAGAGAGAGAGAGAGAGAGAGAGAGAGAGAGAGAGAGAGAGACGAGACGAGAGAGAGAGAGAGAGAGGTCGCCCGATAGATGACCAGGACCCGACTTCGCAAGCTCCTGGATTTTCGCAGTTTTAAAAAATAAAAACATTAATTTCTGCCCCAGAATCTCAGACATTTTTACTTAGATAATGCTTGACATAATGGCTATTTCTTTTCTCAACATCAGACTCAGTTGTAGCTGCCCTGTCAGTTGCAGGGGGTCAGTGTTCTCAACAACTGGGTAACTAAGGAATTGCTGTTTGTTTGTTTACAGCGAATGTCCTCGAAAGTTCAGGGGCGGAGAGGCAGAAGTTGGGTCCCGCCCCTTCCATTCAAGAGTAAGGGGGCGATATCCCCCCCCCCCTACACACACACACACCTTCTCCTTCGCTATTGGTGAAAGTGGATAAACACGTGAAATGGATAGTGCTTTGAGCGTGGCGTGACTGGGGTAGGCAGTGTTCTTGACTGTGTGGCGGCGACAGCGATCTGAAGGTCATTCTGGGTCAGCCATAATCGTCATCTTGGCTCCCGCTGGTTTTGGAACCCACGTGGGAGCCTGGCTTAGCTTGGGGGTAGTATGGCTGGCATTTTTATGCTTATATGCTTATTCGACCGCCAGAACGCTACGCCACCTCAAGGGGTGACCGTTTCTGTCTGGACTTGATTGGCTGTCCATCATAATCTGGTCTTCTTT